CCCCCTCTCTCTCTCTCTCTCTCTCTTACACTCCGCACCCTCGCCAGGTATTTGTCTAGGCTACAGATATTGACCAGCTATCGATATCGTGGACACTCGTCGATATTATATTCTCCGTTGCCGCTTGCTTCCCCTCCATCGTATCCGTTCTTTCGTTTCGCTCTCCCACCCCATGGATTTTACCGGTCGGTGCGTTCTCGTGTAAATTTCGGTTAATGAATTATATGTATAATATATAGACATGCGTGCATATATGCGCGCGAACGATGTAACTCGTGTGCATATTTGCGGAGCGATGGAACGGCGGGTGGGGGAGGAAGGGGGCACGTCGGCACGCCGGCGAATTCCCGCCGATTTTTGAACGGGATCGACCAATCGCCGCGTGCCCCGCCGCGCCAGAATTTCATCGAAATGAGAAATCAATACGCGGTGCAAACGCTATAACGGGATTGTTCCGTTGCAAAAATGCGCGCGGTTTCCGAGTATGCCGCTTTGCATTCGCATTACTTCGATATTAATTAGTACGTGCTAACGTATTATTGCTTCCCCTGTTTATACCCGTATATTATTTATATATGTTGTACAGCTACATATACATAGGATGTGTAATCTTGCGCTGCAGAAGAACGGTAGAGCTTAACAAAATTAACAGAAAATTAAATGAATATAATTTGGAAATTGCGATTTTTGTTCAATATAAAGTATCTCGTAATGGATTTATTTCACGCTTCTATTTTCTATATTTTTGTACTTCATTAATTTTTTACATTACATTTACATTAATTCTGGAAATATTTCATTAACGGAAGAATAATTGGAATAGCAATAAATAGTAAAATTGTAACTAATTATGACTAAGACAAATTATCGAGCGCTGGTTCGGCAAGAAATAACATTTATGATTTACAGGGAGTCAACAAGCTTGTTGAGTTTGCATGTTGTATGGTTATAAATTTTACACCGTCCAATCATTTCTCCTTAAGACGTTCGAAAATAGAAATATTTCGATTCGTGGCTAAACTTGGCTCCGAGCGTTCGCAGCTCGTCACGAGATACCGTTGCAAGGTTTGCACCCTCTCCCTCGGTTGCAACCGAGGTCGGGGGCTGTACATACGGGTGCATTTAAAACATTTTATCGGTAGAAGTATAGAAATCCAAAGCGACCCTTTACGTACGCGTGTGCATACACGCCCAACTCGAGCACTACCACCCTATGAAGGAGGACGATGACGAAGGGTGGGATATGTGGAGAAGGGCGGTTATTAATGTAAGGGGTGGCTGAGCAGTAGTTATTTGGATGGTGGGTGGTCGCAGAGGGCGAGAGAAAGAGATCCAGAGAGAGAGAGAGAGAGAGAGAGAGAGAGAGAGAGAGAGAGAGAAAATGTGAAGCAAGAAGACGGGAGGTCGAGAGATGGGCCAGCTAAAATCAATGCGAGTTTTTCTTTCGCTGCTATTTACAGTTAAGAAACGACAAGCTGGGCCGAAGCAGCGCGACGTGGAAATAAATAAAAAGATTAGTAGCGGTAACATGGAAAATCAGGTTATACTGGATATTCTTGTCAAATTCGCAACGTCTATTTTTATAAAATACTATTTGGTGTACGAAGGCTCGGCTCAAACGAAGTCACTCTACGAGTACTCTACGATCTACATCGCGCAAGTCGATTCTCTTCCCGATTCTTCCCCATCCGAAGATGGATTTGAGAGAACGATTCAAACGATTCGTTATTCCGGCAA